GTAGTATCAGGTGTGAAGCATGTTAGAGTCAGAAGCTCTCTCACAGATCTGCACAGAGCCTGGAAACATTTACAGCTGACATAGCGCAGACACACTGCACACAAGGCAGAGTGATCTTGTTAACACATTAGGATCACCGACTGAAGTTCAGTGATGGTGGTGACTTGCTGGAAGCCACTCGGACAAGCAGGTGGCCAGTGAGGCATACGTAGAAACATGTTTGATTTGTTAGACTGCTTCTTTTCACACCTCCAGGGGAAAATCCCAAGGTGGAGCATGGCCTCTTGGTGGAAATGGTCCTCTGGCCAGCAGGGGCAAGGCACACTGTGCCTCTTGCTCTATGGATGTTGTGTTTGCTAGCTCAGGGTGGCAGCTTGGTGCCTTGGCAGCCAGTGAGGCACCCTGGGATGGGAAATCAGGCAGCCGCCCAGATATTAGAAACAATTACTGCTAATTACCAGGCCTGCCAATTCCCCATTGTCTGCTTGCACTCCACCAGGAATCAAGGAGCAGGCAATGAGGACGTTGGAGGAAACTTTCAATTTTGGCTTGCAGAGTGCCTGGTGCTGCTTGGGGGCTGGGTTCCTTCCTGCCTTGAACCCACAAGCCCCCCCCCACACACACACCTTACTATATCTCTCTGTTTTAGAGATCACATCCTACTTACAGAATAGGTCTTGGATCCTCCAGAATGCTGGGAAGGTAAGGTAGAGGAACCCAGGGCCATAGAGCAAAGCCCATCTTTGGCTGTGAATCTAGTGTCGGTCTCAGTGAAAGTAACTAAGGGTCTTTGGTTTTATAAGAGTGGTGAGTACACACTTTGATCTCCAAACATTCAAGTGTTTATTGTGTACTTTCTCTATAAAAATGTACTGCTGACGAATGAAGATAATAGCCGTGGGGGTTTAACTGTATGGCTCCTGGGCCAGGCAGCCTCTCTTTCTGAAGCTGACCCAAAGACTCAGGTGGAAAAGGAGGCCACCCCAGAAATCAACACTGGAAGCAGAAAGAAATCTGATGGATGGGAGGGGCTCATAGAGAACAGAGGTCACGCTTATGACCCCCTCCCCCAACAGGCAGTCAAAGTGTGAGGAGGCTGTGGAAGACGTGTGCTCAAGTACCCTTTATCCCAGCTGCAGGCCACTCCCAATTGCCATCAGTTGGAGCTGTTTCTGGGATGAGGTAGGAGGGGTTAACCCTTAGGGGCTTCTTTTCTGCCCTGCCTATAAGAAGAAGCAAGCATTGTCGCAGCCGGAAGGGAGGCCCTCAGACTGTGTGCCCCAGGTGAGAAAGGGCAGCTGAGTGCAGAGGTGCATTCTGGGAGGACAGGGTAAGCCAGACACTACCTGCCTGGCTTGAGTAGTTACTACTCTGTCCTGCTGCTTTATAAGATGGGTCCACGAATAGGTATGGACCAAGGGACTTTAAGGCCCAAACAAATTAATATGTGTGGTAAATGCCCTTAGATCTCTGGTGGTCCACAGTAAGGATTGTTCATTTGCTGTTACAGATCTCTGAGTCAAGGCCCCATTTTTCTGGTTTGTTGAAGCTTAATCTCAGGTGGTTCGGGATTGTCCAGAAGGTTATATCTATGCCCTAGACATAGGGAGAGTACATGTAGAGAGAATCCAAAACAGGCCCAGGGTGACAGCCAAAGTGTATCTGCCCTTGGTATCCATGAGTTGCTTCTGTGGACTGAATCATATTTAACTCAAAAGATACTTGAAAAAAACATTCCAGAAAGTTTCAAAGGCAAAATTTGGACTTGCCACATGTGTGTCACTGTAATGAGACACACAGAGGGAATGGCGTACAAATGCACACCTCGGCAGCACCTGCCGTGCCTTGTGCCCTCCATGCCTGTGGTCCCACTAAATGAGCACCTTTTGCCCTGTTGGTGTGGTCTGGTAGATAGATCTGCAGTGGTCATATCTATACTGCACACTTATGAAGTTATCGTGTCATTTTCCCTAAACAATACAGCACAGCTATTTACATGATCATGTGCAGTGCTCTGTGTGAGCATCTTATGTAATCTGCCCATGATATAAACTTCATGGCAGGGCAGGGGGAGGAGGGCTGCGGGCTGGAGAGATGGCTCAGAAGTTAAGAGCACTGACTGCTCGTTCAGAGGACCTGGGTTCAATTCCCAGCTGACACACATGGCAGCTCACCACTGTCTATAATTGCAACTCCAGGATTCCAATACCTTCACACAGATACAGAGGCAGGCAAAAAAACACCAGTGTACATAAAATAAAACTGAAAAATTTAAAAATCCTAAAAAAAAAATGAAGAGCATGAGGGAGCATACAAGGGTCTGTGCAAACACTATCAGTACCTCCATCTCCTAGGAAGGACTTGAGCATCTGTGGTGTCTCTAGGGACAACTGGCTCAATAAGACGGAGAAAGCACAGACATTGGACACAATGTTTAGTTTGCGGCAAGCATCCCACATGTTCCATTGTCCTCTTTCTTTCCCTAGCATTTGTCACCTTCTTTCATGGCATATAATTGATGTTATTTTTGGATGTGTTTATTTACTTATGGGTATTCAGGTTTCGTAGGGACAAGTGTATGTGTACTGTGTATGTGTCTGGTGCCCACAGAGGTCAGAAGAGGGCATCAGGCCCCCAGGAACTAGAATTATAGACAGTTGTGAGCCACAGTGTGGTGCTGGGAATGGAACCTGAGTCCTTGCAAGAGTTACCAGTGCCCTTAACCACTGAGCCATCTCTTCACCCACTGAGAGTATTTCTCGTTATGTGCCTGTGAGGGCAAAACTTGCTGTCTGCCTTGTCTGTGTTCAGAACAGAGCCAGGGATGTGCTGAAAAAACAACAACAACAACAAAAACCATACAGTGAATGAGTGTATCATGGAGATGCTGGCTGGAATGCCTGTATCCTTGCAGGGTCATCAGTGTTGGGTAGTGTGAGTGGCATTAACTGTTACCACTGTGCTGCTGGGACCACGGAGGAAGGATGTGTGGTCCATAGGCGTTTCCATCATTCCAGCGTCTTCTGGCTTAAGACCATTGTTGCCTGCTCCTTAGTCATCATTTCTGTGGTCTCAGCCACCTTCCTTCACCAGACCATCAGCCTCCATGTGTGCATGCAACTTTCATATCTGAGATGTGGAGGGACATTGGAACTTCAGAGACTGTCCTGGGGCCACTTGAGAAGACACCCAGGCCACCATTTCTACAGGACATTATACCCTTTCCTTGGCTCCACTTTCTAAGAACAGTGGTGCGAGCCCTACTGCTTTCAGATCCCCAAAGGCTGTCTGGGGTTTTCTGTGACCCTTCAGCATCACCAACTCACCTGGGGACCATAGATCTCAGCTCACTCCATCCTCACCAGACTCCCTCTGCTCTCCAGGCTGGGAACATTATATGTTTTTTTTGTTTGTTTGTTTATTTTCTGGGCAGGACTATCCCATATTTGTTCCTGTCTTTCTCTGTCTGTGTGTCTTTCTGGGCTACCCCTCTTCTAAAGCAGCCTTCTGACACCCTGCTCCTGATGGGTGGGGGACCCACGGGGCAGTAGGAAATCATGCTAATGAATGTAGAGCCCTGTGCTCTGCCCATTACACAGGAAGGGAAAGGGTAGCTGAGCAGCTTGCCTGACATGGTGGAAGGTAGACCTGAGCAGCCCTGAGCCAGGAGCTAGCAAAGCTCGAGTGCTTTGTGAGGACCTCTATCACCCATCTGGTCCTCTGGGGCACTCCTTTTAACTACCAGAGTTGTTGAGTGACCTGGCTCAGCTCAGGCATCTGACCCTGGACCCATCAACTCTGCCCAAGAATTGGTGTCAACCTTTTTGCCAGGCAAATGTATTTCTCATCTGAATAATAGTGGAAAAGATTTGTTTGTGGGTTTTTGTTTGCTTGTTTAAGAAACAGTCAACTTCCTGTGGTCACGGTGAGGATGAGATGACAATGGGCTGCAGATACCTTGTTCCTACAGATAGAGATCTGTCGGACAGTCCCTCACTGCATCTCACTCAGTACTACAAGAGACCCTGGAGAGGGGAAGAGAGTGATGCCATCCTGACGTTAGAAGCAGGGGGAAGGGAAGGTTAGAGATAAAGCAGGGAGGGAAATTAGCTAAAACTGGTTTAACCAAAGGAATAATAGTAACGGTTACTGACTTACTATTCAAAAGGCAGTAATGCTGTCATTCCTGGGCTCTCTGTACCAGGCACTCCAGTTCCATGTCCCAGGCCCAAGTCTGACGGGAAAGGGAGCGTCACCCTCCCCACAGTTCACAAAAGCTTCTGTTTCAGATTTTCATCGACTGAACTGAGCCATATGTCTGTCCTGGAACCAGGCCCTGGCCAAGGAGAAAAGGGGTGCCCTGAGAGCTGTTCTTCCCTACTGCAATGGCATGCCTTGGAGATGTGGGGTCCCTACAGGAAACTGGAGGTTCTGTTAGCACAACAGGGAAAAGTGGATACCAGGAAGCAGAACAGGAGCAGCATCTGTCAGGGCCCAAGGCTGATGTGCAGGGTGTTGATCACCTGGCCTCTCTCGAGTGAGCCTCACATGAAACTGCTGATTCTGGTCTAGCAGCTGGGGAAAGGCATCACGTGTGATGTGATTCTAACCAGCTCCAGATGGAGCTGATGCTGCTGATCTCTGGACCACACTTAGAATATCAAGGCATTAAGCCTTTTGTGCCAGCACCTGCCAAAACCATCTCCGGTGATCCCTACAGCCACCCTGGCCAGTTAAATCAGCTTCTGTGGTGGGTGTGGACGAAGGTCACCATGGAGCTGGGAGGTGGTGGCACACCCCTTTAATCCCAGTACTAGGGAGGCAGAGGCAGGCAGATCTCTGAGTTTGAGACCAGCCTGGTCTCCAGAGTGAGTTCCAGGTTTGACAGGGCTACATAGAGAAATCCTGCCTCAACAAACAAAGAAACAAAGATCACCGTAGGCTGAGAAACACTTTTGATCTCTGCATCGATCCCAAAACACATTCTTTTCTTCTCACAGTCTTAACTATGGAGGTGTTTGCCTGGCTTCAGATGCCCAGTTCAGTGACTTCCTGGGGAGCATGGGGCCAGCACAGTTTGTGGGCCGCCAGACCCTGGCGACCACACCCATGGGTAAGTGTTCAAAGCCCTACGCCCCTCCCTCCTTTGCCCTCACCTGATGGCTTCAGGTTCCAGCCCTCCACTGTGCCCGTCTCTGAAGTGTCCAAGCTGTAGTTACGGGACTTATTCTGCTCTTGTTTGGGCTGGGAGTGGCTGTAGAGGGCCAGCGAGTACCTGCTAGAGCTCCTAAGCCACTTTCTAGTATCATCTCTTGCAGGAGATGTGGAGATTGGCTTGCAAGAGCGGAACGGCCAGCTGGAAGTGGACATCATCCAGGCCCGGGGACTGACTGCCAAGCCAGGCTCCAAGACACTGCCAGGTGTGGGGACATCTGAGAGATGTATCTGGTGTGGTCCACTGGACCGAACTTCTTGGAGAGAGAGACATCTTTTCTTGTTTATAATTATACCCTGGCACCTAGTATATACTTGTACACCCAGTGTACTTGGCACCCAGTGGGGCTCAGAAAGCATTTGTGGGGGAGGTTGGCAAATGTATAAGGATGGCAAGTCATGGACTGATGGAAGAAACAGATAAGCAGAGGAGAGGGGGAGGCAGTGAGGACCACGAGAAGGAAAGCAGGCCCACAGAGCCATGACCTCACGTGCCGCCCACCCAGGTGGCACCTCACACAATACCCACCCAGACACCCATTTGCCCTGTGGCCCTTCCCCATACTCCTGGGGGTTCTCTGGTCCCCAGAAGTAGGTGGTCAACCACTCTCTGTTGTACCTGTTGCCCACAATTTGAGGGAGCAGCCTGAAATCTGCCTTTTGCCCTCTGTCCCCAGCTGCCTATATCAAGGCCTATCTGCTGGAGAATGGTGTCTGTATCGCCAAGAAGAAGACCAAAGTGGCCCGCAAGTCACTGGACCCGCTGTACAACCAGGTGCTGCTGTTTCCTGAGAGTCCGCAGGGCAAAGTACTGCAGGTAAGGGGATCATGTGTGCGCGCTCACATGCACGTGCGTGTGTGCGTGCGTGGCCTACAGGGACCAGAAGAGGACACTGGATCCCCTGTAGTTGGACTTATAGGTGGTTGTGAGCCACCCAGTGTGGGCTCTTGGAATTGAATCTGGGTCCTCTGGAAGAGCAGTAGTTACTCTTAACTACGGAGATAACTCTCCAGCCCATATGTACATATACTATATACATACACATGCATATACATCATATACATATATGTACTTGTTGTTGTTAGTTTGTGTGTGCATGCATGCATGACACCCATGAGGAGGTCAGAGGACACACACACATCTGCACACATTCCACACATAAAATAAAAACCAGTTTTCTAAAAAGATTCAAAAACAAAACCCAGGCAGTGAGTGACAGTTCTGTCTGACTGAGGATATCCTTTAAGCCTGCTCCCAACCTTCCTAATGCTCCGACCCTTTAATAGAGTTCCTCATGTGGTGACCGACCCCCCCGCCCCAGCCGTAAAGTTATTTCATTGCCACTTCATAACTATTATTTTACTGCTGTTATGAATCATTATGTAAACATCTGATAGATAGAATATCTGATATGTGACCCTTGTGAAAGGACCATTCAACTCCCAAGGTGGTCATGACCGGCAGGCTGAGAACCACCACTCTAGGCTTTGTTGAGCGGGGCTGAGCTAGCCCACCTTCATTGAGGGGGACAGAACTAAAAGATGAGGTGCAGGACCGCAGATGAGGGTCCTGCAGCCACAGACCCAGATCCACAGGCCGGCTCCGAGAGGACGTTGATTGAGAGACCAGGAAGGTGCCACAGAGAAATATTGGTTGGAAAGAAAGGAAGCTAACCGTGACTCAGTGTCCACTATATGAGAATGCTTTGGGCTGGAGAGATGGCTCAGCCATTAAAGGCTAGGCTCACAACCCAAAATATAAGAGAATGCTTCATGTGGGGGTCTGAGGCTCCCTGGGGGGGGGGAATCAGGGAGAGGGATCAAGTTGTAGACGTAGGGCCATCCTTCAAGACCTTTGCTCAAAGTGGGGCCAGGTGGAGGATGGGCAGAGAGGGCGAGAGAGAGGAAGGAAGCCAAGAATGGCATAATAGAGACACTAGAGCCAGAGAAACGTGGTCAGATGAGTGGCTTTTATTTTTTATTTGAAGCAAGGGGTACACATGCCACAGAATGAGTGTGGAGGTCAAATGACAACTCGTGGAAGTCCGTTCTCCCCTCCTACTCTCCCTCCGTTTTGGGCTGTGTGTGCTCTGACACTGAGCTTAGGCTATCAAGCTTGGCAAGAGGCATCTTTGCCTGCTGAGCTATCTTGCTGGGCCCCCTTACGTGGTTTTTAAATAGATAGACTCTACAGGACTTAGCTGCATTGGCCTGAGGAACCCTAGGTTCTGACCCGACAGGCATTTTTTTTCCCTTTTATTTATTGTGTAGGTGTTTTGCCTGCATATATGTTTGTGTACTGCTTGTGGTCTTGGTGCCTGTGTAGTACTGGGAATCAAACCCAGGGCCTTGTGCATGCTGGGCAAGCACTCTGCCAGCCAAACAAACCGCCAAGCTCTCAGTTGCAAGATGGAATCAGTTGTGTCTTTTGTCCTGCAGGTGATTGTGTGGGGCAACTACGGGCGGATGGAGCGGAAGCAGTTCATGGGTGTGGCCCGAGTGCTGCTGGAGGAGCTGGACCTGAGCAGCCTGGCCGTGGGCTGGTACAAGCTCTTCCCCACCTCCTCCATGGTGGACCCAGCCACAGGTCCTCTGCTCCGGCAGGCATCCCAGCTGTCCCTTGAGAGCACCGTGGGGCCCTGTGGCGAGAGATCTTAATGCCCGGGATGGGGAGGGGCTCCCCGAGATGGCCTGGAGACCACCCAGCCCTGACCTGGGACCCCAGGCCCAGGGGCACATTGGACATTGGAGGATGGGGTTCTTCCCCACAGTGGGGAAGCAGAATGGGGAGACCTGCCCCCCTTGGGCCCCTCCTCACTCCTTCACCTCCTACCCCTGAGACCTTCCCTCTCCCAGTGGGTTGGCTACACTTTTGACTTGGCCGGTTTTGACCTGGTGGATGCGGCTACAGTCAGAGAAAGACTGAGGTGGCGGAGCCAGCCACTCTCCTTGCCCCACCCACCCCCCCCCACCCCCAC